CTGATACAGGCCAGGAACTTCCCTTGCTGGCTGCTGTGAGCTGGGGTTAGAGCAGGGCAGTGGAGGGCAGCAGGCAGGGGGACTTTCTCAGGAGTGCGACATAACACTTGAGATTCTGACTCAGAAGTTGGATTAGGAGGTAGGGGAGGAGAAGGGAAGTGTTGGCAGGAGAGTGGTATTGAAGGTGTTAACCTCGTGCCTTTCTGGGGTTTGCTTTCTGATGTATAGAGTTTTAGGAGTTGTAGCTCTGTTTACTGAAGGCTTTTTCTTTTTTCTCTTTTTTTTTAAAAAAATCGTCTAACTTGTGTAATTGCTGTGAGTTCCAAGCTGGAGCTTCCTCTTACTGTAAGCTGCACATTAATAAAACTGAACTTGCTGCATAGAAAGAGCCAAGGGGACTTTTGTTATGTGTAACACCAGCCAAGACAAAATCCCTGAAACTTTTAATTTAGTGGGTTAATTAATATCCATGCTGTTAATCGATTTTGTCTTTTTTTTAATAGTTTTAAAAAAATCCTGAGATACGATTCTGGAAACTTTAGAGAGGACACAGTAGAGCCTCAGAGCTGTGCCTTCGTCCCAAATTGTCTTGGCATCTTTTTTCTTCCTAGGAGAAGCTCTAATGAAAGACAGTTTGCCTTTCCTTACTTATCCAAAATCCAAGCTCTTTTAGTGGAAGCAGATAAGAGAGACTCTAGTAAGATGAATCCTAGATAAAGCAGTATCACATACTTAGTGAGACCACGACAGCTTCTTCCACTTCTGCCAGAAAGATGTGCAAAGGAGGACAGGGGTATGATTTTGATTTATGTTTAGTAAGGTTCTTGATTAATCTAGCAAAAGTGTTGCCTGTTTCCTGACTGTGCCAATATCGGGGTGAGTGTGTGGTGGTGCTGTTGTTTGTTCTTTCTCTCCAAACTACAGTGGAGATCCGTTCTCTAGTTGTAGCTGTAGAATATTCCCAAACAATAGCTGTTTTGAAGATGGCTTCTAAGTGCCCTGTGTAACTCTTTAAAAGTTAAGTGTTCCCTGCAGTTAATTCTTTGGAGACAATGTGTAAACTATCAGAATTCGCTGGTGCCTAAAGACATATCTAGAAACAATGACACAAAACGGAACAAACATACCATGGGGGGAGCTTCAGCTTTTTGAAGAAGTGTGACTCGAATCTTCATGCCAATTCTTTGTTTGCTTGTAAATGAACCTCTGAATAAGATTTGTCAATGCTATATGGAAAAAAAAAGTCAGGAAGCAAAGAACATCTCTGTGTGAGCCCATTAAATGGTGTTTTTTGGAAAATGCCATACGTTGGGAGATAAAAAAATCAGGATTACCCAGGCAGACAAATTTCATGCATTAGAACTGCACAGATTATTCTCCTTCGTGTCCCACCTCGTATCTTGAAAGCCTAACACCTAGTGGGAGTTCCTAGCAATTTGTGTGATTTTGCCTGTAATGTTAATCAATTTTTGGTTTTTTAACAGGAAGCCAAGCCGTTATCAGACCACTTGACCACTAACATTTTACCTTTTCACTCGCAGAATGTGAACGGTATAAAGTACCATGCCAAGAACGGCCACAGAACGCAAATCCGCGTACGCAAACCATTCAAATGTCGCTGTGGAAAGAGTTACAAGACAGCTCAGGGCCTGCGGCACCACACAATCAATTTCCATCCCCCCGTGTCTGCTGAGATTATCAGGAAGATGCAGCAATAACATGCTGGTCACAAATGTGCCAAGAAATCCTCACCAGCAGTTGCTGATTTTGAGAACAGCCACCTTTTTCAGGGGAAGCATTCAGCAACCCTTTAAAAAAAATTAAATGCATGCTTTAAAATTTTCTGTAATTTTGGAATGATGTATCTTTGTAGAGTTAATGATTTTGTACATTTGCACATGTAATCATCATACCCATTTTCATTACTTTGACATAAGGTGCTATAAAAGCTATAGGTTCTTCAGAACATTTTTCTCCAAAACAGAAAAAAATTAGGGGGGCGTTGCGTATTTAGTTGTACTGAAGTGTTGAATAGGAGCAAGAGGAGGAGAGCTTGGCACTGACATCCTTTCAAGATTGTAACGTGATGAAGACTTTCAATGCATCTGTCAATGTGTGTGCAAAACCAAAAGAATACAACCCTCGTCAAACTATAGTTAACATGCCTTACATAATGGAGTTATCAGTGGAGTAGCAAGTCTTTTAGGTAATGGAAATATAAATAAGAAAGAATGTTTAACATAATATGCTAAAAATATTTTCATACTTAAATAACATACATAAAAAGGTGTGCTTGCTGTATTTTGTATTATCCTGCAAATCTTTTTTTTTTTTTTTCCTCCCCTCTGGAAATGCTGAAAATCTTGCCATTTGAACTAGTAAACAATCACTTTAGTGTTAGAAATTACTACTTTTTTTTTTTTTTTGTACAAGATGTCATATTATGTTCACGCCCATCAAACTTTTGAGGACCAATATCCCAGTCCAACTAAATATTTACCCCTGAACTATCTGTTAGAAAGACACTTGGAAATACTTAAGTGCAAATTTATGTGTGTGTGAGAAACAATTCTCTTCATCTCAGATGAAGGTTTAAAGCACTTTGTAGTTCTCTATTGCCAACAGATTTAATGTTTTATGCGTTGCCAATTCTTGCAACTACTGTACGAGCATGTGCCTGTGGTTGCAAATAAAAATTTAAAATTCTACGCATGGTTTAAGGAGGTCCATTATTTGTGCTAAGGGAGTTTCTAATGCCTCTCCCTCATGTTCATTGTACTTTGACATTTTCTTTGTGCATTTTTTTTGCTTCTCAGTGTAGGTCAGTGCATTCCATTTGGAAGTGTCTGTTTAGCTTTACAATTAATTTTGCTGAAATATGACATATGAGCCTTATTGAAGATTAAGTGCTTCTTGCAGCAGGTGGTCAGAGACTGACTTAAAACAAAAGCCAACATGAGAGCACTTCGTGTCTGGACCATACCTGAACATTTGTCACTTACCATCCTGCCTTGAGCCGCCTTCTCTCACAAGTGCTATTCCTGGCGTTCCAGTGGGCACCCCCCGCCCTGCCCCGGCCCAGAAACACTGCTCACGCGGTGAGGGGTGGCTAGGGAGGAGCTCGCGGCGTTACACACAGCCATCGCCTTTGCTTAGTTCCTGTGAAGTGCAAAAGAAAGCTCGAATAAAGGAGGCGTGAGCTTTCCCTTTAATTTTTTCCAAAGCTTTAAAGGAAAACTTTGTAAGGATGACAATTACCTATTCTCCAGCAGAGTAAATGTCTCATTAAAATGCTTCAGAATCATCCTAATGAAGAAGTGTTTAGAACACCTGAATTGAAATAAAACATCACTTTTTCAAATCCTAGAGCGGTGACAGTGGCTGCACTGCACGGTGCTGTCGGCCGGGTTTAAAGGATGATCCAGACGTGAGGGTTACCGGCACACAAAGGCCCCGGTGGCCGCTGCCTGCCTTCTGCAGTTTTGGCAACAAACACGTTTTGGCTCTGCTCCTAGTGCAAGAAACTACAGGCTGGGTAAGGTCGTTCAACAGCTAAACAGTCGTAAAACGTCATTGTTGCATGTAAATTCCTTTCAACTATAAAAATGAAATTCCAGTTTCTATTTACCTATTCATTGTGACAGTATTATTAAACAGGTAAAGATGGGACTATTTTGTTATACTGTGTATAGTGAATGTATTGTACTGTGTCTGTGAAAAGTGTGCTTTAAATTATATTTTCATATGTTTTGTTGGGGACAAAGTACTTTAAGTTTGAAAGCGACAGAGGTTTGTTTTAGAACTGAAGGCAACTTAAAGAATTCCTGTCAAGAAAGCTGCTTATAAATGTAAATCAAATCACATTTAAAATAAACTGCCTCTGACCTAAAAAGACTGCTCTTTACTCGTTACTAACCTAAAGAGTTAAGTTCTTGGGCTGTATATAGTCTTCTATTTGTGTATTTTACTTTGGTATCATCAAACTCCGTATTCAGTAAACACCTGAAGCAACTTAAGCACTACACCATTAATGCATAAAATTACATAGAATGTTACAGCCTGAAGGAAAAAAAAAAACAGAGTATTTTGATTTAATCAGTCAAAAGGATTTCAGATTTCACGGGCTGTTTCCTTCCAACATCGCAACAGAGCTCAGGTTACCAGGTAAAATTTGTACTGGTGCTACAGGAGCCCCCTTTTATTGGTAGGATATGGGTCACCTTTCTTCTAAAGGTTTTCAGAAGTGAAGTGGCTATCGCTATGAAAGGAGAAATCATTAAAATTCTAATTTTAATTGTGGTAGAGGTATTTGGCTTCTGTGACACACCTGCAAACTCACAGGGTAGGTTATTTTAAGCAGCCCTGTCAGGGTGGCTGTTTAGCAGGGAAACTTTTTAAGTCACTCCCTGTCTACACACACATCTAAGAGAAGTTCCTGCTTTGGCACAATTGGGTTGTGAGGTTGTCCTGCCTGTGTGGGATACCAACCTCTGAGACATCGTAAAGTCTTCAATAATATGATAATTATAATAATAATATTTCGGTTTTATAGCCTGTCCTAACTGTTTTCATAAGCTGTTGAGTTATGGTAAGAAAAAAAATTGACAAAATAGTCTTTCAGCACTTCCATGCCTTACCTCAGACCATCTCTTGCTGTGCAAGTTCATAGTTAAAAAAAAAAAAAAAAAAATCTGAGACTTAAAATGGAACACGAGGACTGATGTAGTAGCTGCTGCCCACGACACTGCCATTTATCTACGTTATCCAGCTTTTAATAAATCCTGCATTGAACAGGATATTGCATGTGTTCATGAGAGAACGGCAGACAACAGAAGCTACTCAAAACCTTAATCGCCACATCTCTCTCTCAAACAAAGAACATAAATAGATGAGAGCAACAGTTCCTTTGTCATACAAAGCTGAAACATCATTTACTGTAACTATGTAAAGCCTAAACTGTTTTATTTCAAAATGAGCAGCTGGAAAAAAGGACCACTGACTCCATGAATAATTTTGCTTTTAATGTAACAAGACTACTGTACAACAAGTGGAAAGCAAATATACTTAATACAGTTAAAGTAAATATAAAATGTTTAGATATACACACATGTTTTTACTTACTGGAAAGAAATACATGAAGTTAAAATGCAGAAGGTTTTAAAAGCCCTAAGCCAAAAGGAACACAATTCACTGTTGTGAAAATATAACAATATTTTCTACTGAATGCAATTGCAACATAATGGCAATGATTTTTTTAAACAATTACTTTTAGGCATTTAAGCACAGCAGTTTCTTTCAACTCAAAAATACTGCCTTACGGTATAACGTACTTAACATTATCCCTTAAGGCAAACATTCCGTATGTAAAACTGAAGTATTTGCCATTCCTTTTGTTGCAAGCATGTAATCTCACAGTACATGCATCTACGTTTCAGAAATGTACTAGAAAACTGTATTTTCATAGGGTAAGTAAGGTAACTTTCCGATTTAACTATTACTCAAAGAAAAACTACACAAATTTGCTAGGAGAAACATCTTTATTACATTTTTAATCATGCCTCAGTTACCACGGTCAAGAGGAAACCCTAGGTGTTTTGGTGGCATTTTTATGTAGCTGAAGAGCATCATGAAGTTGGTCTCATTTTTTCTGAGGCTAAGTCATTCCTGTCCCCTTACAAATTCCACTAAGTAGGGGCATAAATAGCTACATACACAACAAGGTGGGGTTTCGTGGGGTTTTTTTAGTATAATGTTAGGTAGAGAGAAGATAACCCAATAGCAGCTTACAGCCACGATTTACCACAGCTCCCATTAGGTACATGAGCTTTTAATAGAAGTTTGCACTGTTACAGAAAAGCTGCGCTGTTCTCGTTCTGTAGGTGGACTACTCGAAGTTGTGGGTTTTTAAGCTACACTGCAAAACAAAGTATTTAATCAAAATTTAATACGTTCTGATCAAAGTGCGTCTGAACATGCCTCTCAAACCCTTGCTGATCGTAGTCAGGCGGGAACTGCTCACTGCACATGGGGCACACCTTCCAGTGACTCTCAACATGTTCCTCAAACTTGCTCTGATCATAGTTAGGTGGAAACATCACATCGCAAAGAGGGCACTTCTTGTGCACGTCAAAACTTCACGACGAGGTGGAGAGAAAGAAAAAAGGAACCAGTTATTTAATCTGTTATTGCAAACGAAAATAAAAAAGTAGGATCCTGTTGCCACCGACATTAAGAGCTTTACGGCAAACTTAAATCTGAGCAGACTTTGTATCTAAGCAAGTATCATATAGTTAATTTAAAGGTCTTTGCTGAAAGTGCTCAATACAGTTAACGTACTTTTACACAGGAATTCCAAAATAACCTGGCATTTTAAAAGCAACATAATTTTGACATAATTCCAGCTACCACTGAATACGAATCTATTGAATGTCTTAATGGCCAAGCAGTTTCATGGGAAACCACTCTCTCTGCTCATAAATGCTTGCTCTTAGCAAACATAACACTTTATAAAAGCTCTAAACTTAGGTTCACAATTAGGTTGGAAAGAGAGGGGAAAAAACAAAAGTTATTCATTCATTTACTGAAGAAATCGTCCACATTCCGTCAAAATAAGGTATAACACAAATAGTCTACCCAGTCTAACAGCATATTCTCTGACAGATAATCGTAAACCAAACATTCATTGAAAATGCTTAATAGTTTTCCATCTCCATCCCTTGAGTAAAGAAGTGCAGTTATACAGAAACCTATCCATGCCATTAAAGACTAGTAAAAGAGAACATTTACCTGGAATCAAAGCAGAAACCTGTTCCACGTTCATGCAAGAGAAGACTTGGAGGATCAGGAGCAGAAGGTACAGTGTTGTCATCATCCTATTAAAAAACAAAGGAAAAAATTTAAATACCACCCACTAGAAATAGCTTTTTTCTTTCCCCTCCAAATGTTTTTGTTATCAAGCAGAAACATGGATGAAATTTACCTTTCGTTTTATAATCTCTGCAGCGTAAGTTCTACTCCAGTGTACAAAAGGGAGAGGTGATTAATGAACATGAAAAGCTAAAGACAGACTGCCTTTTGACCATGTACCTAGAGCAGAAATCTCTGCCAGTACGGCTAGAATGCTGCTGCTAACACAGTAACCAAGGAAATGCAGGTCACCTCACTGTTAATGCCTGGGGGCTAAGTCGGAACAGAAAAACCTGTGTTAAACTGAATGCAGGGCGTCACGCTACAAACCATAAGAGCATTTTATTGAGAGCTAAAACTCAAAAATAAATTCTAGACAATAGAATGTCAAGTCAGACTTTAAAAATCTGTCAATTTAAATTTCAGCAAGGGGAAAAAAAGACATTAATTTCAATTCACATGCTTGCCTCCCAGCGGTCAGTTTTGAGTGATCTGCCCATGCCGCTCTCGCCAGCCAAGCACGTCGCACGTTTCACGCTGCCGTCAGGCGCGTCAGCTAAATTGCCCTGTTGGGCTGCTTCCTCTCATCAGCTCTGTCAGTTGTGCTCTCCCTTCACGGACACCAACAGCACATAAACAGCTGGAGCAGGCACTGATGAGGATCGCTCTGCTGACGGACAAGCAGGTTTGCCTCAGAGCTTCTATCAGGCTAGGGAGGCAGGGCGGCCTCTAGGGAATAGGCTGTTCCTCACTTCTCACAAGAGAAGAAGGAAACCTGCCTGCAATGGGAAATTCTCAAGCAGAAAAATGAAGAATACCTACAGTGACTGGATTCGGAGAGTCCCCTTCTGACAAGCAAGGGGTCAGGGCACTTATGTTTTGCAGGTTTTTGGGTTGGGTTTTTTATTCTGTGATGACACTATTACGAATTAAGATTTAAATAAGCACAGTGATGTAAGCAAACACAATTAGGGGAAGAAAACGGAACAAAAGGAAAATAAGAGAGCAGGAAGAAAATCAGAACTGTGTTTGTAAACCCATTCTTTATGCAGTATAAAACTATTATACAGCATCTCGGTTCTATTCTGCTATTAGATAACGCAGCACAAAACCTACTTATTTCAAGGTGGGAATACAGATAAATTCAGCAGAATTTTTGAAACTCCAACTCCTAGTTCATTTTCCTTTTCATCTCAAAGACGCCTTACATGCAAGAATTACGAATTATCTAGCAGATCTTCAAAACTGGATGTGCAAGGGACCCTATACAACATCATACATGCTATATGTTTCATACAGATAGCTAATACGTATATTCAAACATATTTCATTTTTAGGCTAACATACTTTGTCCTTACGAAGAGTTAACGGAAACAGGGCAGGATGGGAAGATTCCCTCAATATTGTTGTTCTCCTGACAACAGCTGTTTCGTTTCAACCATTTAACATTTCCATTAAGCAGCTAGTGGGGCTTGCTGTGACAGATGCTAGCAACAGACACATTTTCCTAACTTGCTTGCTTTGCACCTGCAGTAAAAAGGGCATATGGGTTTTAAAATATTATTTGTTCCTTTTGTCACAAAAGTGGTAGGATGCAGGTATTAAAGCAGAAAAACTATTTAAAGTACTCTTATGCTACAATGCTACAGCTTATATAGTGCCGAAAACATGACAAATTTGCTGAATACCAGACTGTATGTAAACCAGGACTTATCTGAGAAAATGAATGTGCATCTTCCTTCAAAAAAACAGTTCCACTACAAACACAGGCCTAATTAACATTTACATCCTTTAGAAAAGACTTTCTTATAATTCTTTACTGTTTGTCACTCAGTTACTTCTTGAACACAGGGCATTTTTGTCACAGCACTTACTAATACTTGGTTACAAATGACAAGGTGGATGAGGTATTTCTCTGGTGAAAGGGCTCTTCAGGCTCAAATTCCTTAAGCAACCTTTGTTTAGGATAGATTAGCAGACCCAATGACAAATGCATTATATTAAGGGTCATTAATTTTAGTTGAATAACAAGTCAGGATTTACCAATACTAAATATTAACTTGGTATATAAGGGCATTAACCAAAATTATGTGGCTAACATGATACAGAAGGGTCTCTTTTCCCATTCAAAATTATCCATGTATTCAACAAAACCCAACTTTTAGAAAGGGTCTTTACACAGACCCGAAAGAAACCGCTAAGCTGAATGCTCAACTGTAACAGAACACAGAACTCATCATTCCTGAAGTAATCTGTCTTCCATACAAATGTTAGAATACCACAGAAATTTTAGTTACCCTATCAGAAAATGAAACCTCTCGGTCTTTTTGCACGCATTACACTATGATTAAAATGTACTGAGTGGCAAATGAAATATGTTCATATAACGCATTATTCAAGTAGAACTGATGTTACCAATGCCCTCCATCCATTTATATTAGCTGTGTCAGCAGAAGTAGACTGCTTTAGCATCAGCTTCCCCACATGCATATTTCTGCTGTACTACACAGTCGAGGGGAAACTAAAGATTTTAATTAGAATCAACAAAATGCAAACGGATTTATACAAAGGTTTGCCATTTTAAAAATTTATTTTAAAAAATTCAGCACTGTCTGTCCACCTTATATAAAGCTTTAACAGGTTAATAGGTTGGGTGGGGGTTTTTCAGTTTGTTTTGGGCGGGTTTTTCACATTATTTACTCTAGTTATTTTACTTATTTGTTCAGTATTTTGCCCACACACCCCCCCGCTTTTTTTTTTTTTTTTTTTTTTTTAAAAACATTTGGGTTACCACTAGTCACTTGGTAAGATAAAATTGTTTACATCTTTTGTCCTTCCTTTCAGCTTCTGGCAAGCGTGATACCCTATCATGTACAAATATAACATTGCTCCTCATTCCTTTCTGAACAACTGATTTGGAAAAGAGTATGATGCTTTCCTCTACATGGGCGCACATGTGCTATCCTGCATTGCTGCCTTGTAGGCACTAGCTTCAACAAAAGGCAAGCACAAGTTATTAACAGTTTAAAAAAAGGCTTTTCCGATGTCAAAGTAACATTAAGTTTGGTATGTCCTAAGGATATAGCTTTCTCATGACCCAGTTCAATTAATTGTAAAAATCATACTGTGTGTTCCTTAGAGTAGCTTCTGACCCCTGCACCATGTAAGAAAGAATGACAATACTAAGTATGTATTGGTACTATGCTCTTAAGATACAGAAAGTCTGTCTCTTCAGTGTACTTTTGCTCTTGGCCAAGTATATAAAGAAAGATCAATTCTTAACGTTTTGTTATGCTTAACCCAAACAAGAAGAATGCAAATCTATATTGAGCATACCTCAAAGGGCTATTACAGAGATTACTGTATAATTAAAGAATTGTCAAACAGTAACAATGAGAACTTCATCTTAGTCTGAGAGTATTTCACAGCTATTCTAAGTACAAGTTACACTAAACAGTATACAATCACCAATAACTAAAAATTCTCATGCACTACCCTGGGGTAACTTGGAACTTCTGGAAAACACAGAAAATGTCCCATAATATTGGACTCCAACAGCTGTCTATTTATGTCATTTCAGATGGACAGAATTCCTAAAGTGCACCCTGTAAAACAGAACTATCTGAAGGGAGGACAGATCTTACTCATCTTGGTTCACAATCATTTAGTGCCCAGTTTTGTCCAGCTACTATAACCAATGATACATTCTTTATTCTTACAAATTATGTTACATATGCTTTTCAACCTGACATTTAAAAACTGGTCACTCTCCCATGTAAAACAAACCATCCCCTGAAGACTCAAAAGCCAAAATAAGAAGGCTAGTTGAAGCTGCTTTATAGAAAGTTTGACAATAACTGCCGGGAGGCCAGGCCTCAATGGCTCAGCCTATGCTGTATTTTAAGCACAGGCATCAGCTTACCCTCAAGATCCCACAGCTGAGTCATCCAAATTATTTGGACAGAAGCCCATACTCCATATTTCGAGAAAGGGACAGTTTAATCTGCCCTTTGTGTAGACCCAGAGCCAGCTTTCTTGCACTCCAGACTGATAACCAGGGACACTGCTGCACATACTTAGTCCAAGACCTCTACAGTGCCCTGCAGTGATGTAACACAGTTAATATGTGGCCTCAGCTCCTTACGAAAAGAGTCTGATAGCGTGTACCCACCACAGGTTGGCACAGTGGTTATGTAGCATAACAAATGCCAGGCCTTCTGAAGTCAGAAGTTCAGATATCTAGGTTAACGAATTATAAAGGATGCCTTTAACATCATGACTAGTATCACTGGACTGTAACTCTGACTCTTTAAAATTGCCACAATGAGTTCCACAGATTATATGAATCAAAGATAAATATAGTATTACACAATAAAACATGGTAAAAAAGAGGGGGTTTGCCACTAGAAGAAGGGAAAGCCAGACATTAACTGTCAGAAATAAGTGCAACTCACTTAGTTTTACCAAAACTAACCAATTTTGTCTCAAGTACTGCTTTCATGATTACAATTGTAATCAGTTCCAAGACTGCCAAACAAATTAGAAACAAAGCCGTGTGACACTGTACAAAAACCATAGACTTGAACAATCCCTGTCTCTGATTTCTACAGATCATTTTAACATGCTACAGTACGCAAAGTGATACCCATCTTAAGGTTTAAACAATAAATGAACAGCCACACCACTAATGTATAGTGCAGGTAAACTGGAAAGAAGAGTACATATGTTTTCTTTCTGTGATTCAGCTCTGCTGTGTGAGTGAAATCAAACAAACTCTTTTAGGTCTCACTACCCCTCTGCAAGCAGTCTGGTCTCCCAAGAGTTACCTGGATACCAACTGCTCCTTTTATGTCTATCCTATACAAAAGATAGTAACTGGCTGCCAGGATAAGATCAGGCTAATAAAGTGTAATGAGTTTTTTTGCTAGAAGAAAGGCCATTTTGGATTCATCTCAAAAAATATCCTGACCTGGTTGCCAGTTGCCAAAAGTTACACCCTCCCACCCCCCACAAATTTACTGTGACTAACAACACTGTTTAAGAGTCTCAGGATAGTTATTCTAGGCTTACTGCCAACTGTAATCAGGACTACATTTCTAAAACTCACACACTTTAGTATTAAAAATATATATATGTTTTGTTTATGGATCTCTCCCGTACATACCTGCTTCTAGAAATTATTTGCTCCAAATGATTATATTTTGGTCAATTATGGGAGCATGAGCAAATGGAAAGTTAGTGCCGAGTAGACGACGGCAGGAATTTGTGGCAAGTCAAGTATTCTACACAAAATCACCACTGTGTGCATGCTCATCTGGCATGATCAACACAGACGAGCTTATCCCTCTCAGAAATCACAGTTTAATTGGCCTAAGAGTTCCAAAAGCCAAAGCTATGAAGAATTCCAGAAAGTCTTCGAGTCATACAAAACTGATGTTTTTTCATGTCAACCAAATGCATGGAAGAGCCCGTTCCCAAGGAACGCAGTTTTGGAAGAAACAAAATCAGAACACAACCGCAAAGTTAAACAAAAATTCTGATGCATTTGCAGATGTATTCTTACTTGGTCTACAACTCAGAGTAAATGCAGACAGTAAAGGCAGCGTAAGTTTCAGCATAGCAGGAGTGTCACCATCACCTGATCTTATACTGGTACTCAAGAAAATGGCCAGTAACAAAAATGTCTTCATTGAGAAGCAGAAAGGGAAGCCTACTATACTTGGTGTAAGAGCAAACAGCGTTTCTCCTTAGGAATGTGGAAACTAAGTTCAGGTCACATTAGGAGCAAATGCCTCAGCAAAAGGATCATCTCAGTCATGAGCTTGAGAATTTTGTAACTTACCAGTAGGAAAGACAAAATGACTTTGTAGAGGGTTACAAAGATAGCAGCTGTACTCCACAGAATTGAGGATCAAATTGTTATAGTTGCAGGTACAGAAGCATCCCCAAGAAAATAATTCATGCACAACTTTAGCATGAAAATAATCCTCTTAAAGTGAGCTTAGGGCGTCTGTCATGTCTCTCCTTGTATGAATGGGAATGGTACACACCCTAGCACCCGTCCAGTACTATAAGGCTATGCAAAAATCCTTCCTCACTTGGCCAAATGTTCTGTTAAAGAGTGTACAGAACTTCTGACGCTGGAATGAGAAAGAAGCAGTGAGTGAACAGAGACCAAACTGGCACGCTTCTTATCCATCGCCAACCAAAAGAATAGTTGTGTGATATCTTGTGCCATTCCTCTAATCTATTAATGTAATTGAGAGACTCATATTTCCTCCTTGGGATAGGTAGAAAGACCAACCAACATCTCTCTGAGATTTTTAAGACGTGTATTGCTAAAAAGTACACAGGATGGCAGCCACATTAGCTCAACAGGCTGACAGTTTTTCTTCACTGGGAAGGGAAATGGAGAAGAACCTTTCTGTTGATGTAGAAAACTATGGTTGATTCGTAAAACAGTAAGCAATTTACAATTCTAATGACACAGAATAGAAACACGATCTTTTTCATATATTGCAGACAAGGTACCGTGAGTTAGATCTTTTTCAGTACACGACAAAAAACATAAATGGATCATTACTGAGGAACACAAGATTCCTTTAGGCAAAAGTAAACTCAGCACCTCGAACAAGTCTGTTACCAGACTGATAAAGAAAAAGTTTGCATTAAAAAACAAACAACACACATAAAAAACCAAAAACACCTTATGAAGACTTTTCAAAAATAAGGAGGCACATGGGATTCCTGTGCAAAAGGTTTGCATCAATTTGGACAAGTCCAAGATATTTCACTAAAGAGGACAATTTCCGTTCAAGTAAAAGAATCAAGTTTTACCACCAAAAAGAGAACTAAGGAGTCCTGACTTTCTCGGGATTTGTCTTGCATTCCCCCTAACACTCCTCCCCCCACATCTTCTCATGTTCTCTTCCTGTTTAGTTGGATTAGTGACCAGTTTGCAGCCATATTCAGGATGATTAGCCAGCTGTCGGCTGCCTGTTAGAACAAGAATTTATTAAGGTCTCTCTCTTCTCCCAAGCAATTGTCAAAAAACCTGTAGGAAGTCAGTATCTAACACCTCTACCATATGTCAAACACAACTGAAGTTACCAAAAGCAAGCAAAAACAACATCCAGAAAAAAATAAAAAATGGGGGCAAGAAGGCAAAATAAAAATCTGAACAAACTGGAAGAGAATTCTGTTTTGAGCAAACACCAGAGTACGGACGAACAGAAAATGGGTACTCCACTTACATCAATTCACAGCACAAATAATGCCGTATGAGTTGTTTAAGTGCTAGAACAGTCCAATGAAGGCAAAGGCTTTAAAACTCGAGGACTATCAACATGTAGAGTGGAAACGTGCAAATGGACAAATGCACGAAGACAAATTCTAGATTCTTTCCCTGGTGCTAAAAAAGACATGTCGCAGTTGGAAATAAAGTAACTGAATATTTACAATGAAAGAAGGTCAAGGTAGTAACAGTTGCAGAGATGTAGTTTGTAGGCTTGAAGTAATTCTACCGAATTCCCTGTCCAGAAAACACTTCTGGGAGAAGCGTTCAAGTTTCCTCCGGTGTCATCCAGATTGTTTATGAAGTTACTCAACTGCACAGGAATGTAAACAGCAACTACAGCTAGTAAGTTTGACTTGCTAGACCCCCTCATAATTTGCTGACCCACTCCTTAGGCCTAAAGGAAAGGAGATCCCATTTCTGGCCTTCATTCTGTAGAAGCAAGTCGCAAAGTTTTTCTCAGACATGTGTGCACACACTTCCCTACTCTCACCTGGTAAGACTGAAAAAAGCCTATTTGAGTCACATCTGAAAAGTCTGTTTACAGTTGTGTGTATACAACCTCTACTTCATTCTCCTATGTATCCTATGGCCCAGGGTCTCAAAGATCTGTCATCTTAGATAAATAATGTAGACATGTTCATCACCATAGGTAAATCACCACCAAAACAGCCATGAAGTGGTGGAAGTGACTACAACACCCTCAAGTTCTTGAACTAATATAACATGTAGTAATAGGAATGTGGAGAGGAAGATGACAGAAGTCGATACAATGGTAATATTTTAAACAAAGCAGCAAAACTACCAATCGTTCTCTTCTAGGAGGGAATCCTCCTCCAACCAAAGGCTCAACATCTTACTTGTTTAAAAATGCACAGAATTACATCTTAAGCTTATTTTAAAAACCAGTACAACAAATGATAATCTCTTCATATTTATCATTTTATATTTGCTGTTTCTTCTGCACAAACGACAGGCTCTCCTTTATTACGAGTTACCTACATATATGGAAGTTTTCCTTGGTTATTTCATTAAATACACCAAAGATAAAACAGTTTTAATGCAGTATCACTAAGTCTCTCTAGAAAGATTCTTGCAACTACTCATTTCCATGTAAATTTGTACACTACTGTCCTGGTTTAACATACAGTCTCTTTTTGGGAGGAGCAAGCAACTGATTCTCATTTGAAAGTAAAAAAATAAAGATATAAATTATTTGATTTAAAGGCACCTTTTCTCAAGTTGAACTTTATTTAAGCCTGTTATATTCCATCTCATTACAAAAATCCAAGCTGTGTCAGCAAATGAGCACAAGACTCTAGCACTGTTTCTCTTGGGTTTGCAAGAGGGCAAAGCACATAGATCAGAAAGAACACCCTGCTAATTAAACTGAAGCAGATGACTAAAGAAGAGAAGAGCTTGTCATATGTAATATCTATGTCAAGAATGATCAGATTAAATATGCAAAATCTGAAGTAAAGGTGGGCAACAGCATTAAGCTCACATTCTAGATCTTGAACAGGCTGCAAAAGTTCTGACAGTTTCTCTAATTATTCACAGTAATGGACACTGGGGGCAAAAGGTAGGAGGGAGAAATACATTTTTCTCCATTATAGGTGCTGAGCACCAGGGCTAAAATCATGCCTGTCTGAACACTGATCAGTTTCTGCAAAGGTTAATAGCAATTAAATGTGGCAAACTAGACTAAATGAGAAACAGGTCATGATACCACTGTACTTGCAAAGAGCACAATACTTTGCAGAAAGGTATTTCTTGTTTAATATTTTTGAAGGTGCAGGAGTACTTAGAATAAGAAAGAGTAATAAGTCTGTTCTTGTTCAAATGAAGACATACAGTCCAGTTTATTACAGAAGCCAATTTACTAAAACCATTTTTTATACCAGAACGTGCAAGTTAACTGTATTAAAAAGAAAAGCTAATAAGTTTCCACTTAAAACATACAAAGCCCTAAAAAATAGATCAGTGAGAATCTGTCACTTTCAGTTTAATCAGCTTTAGGTAACAGTCAACTAGCTCTTCCAAATACATGTCTAACAGCAAAGAACATTCAAAATGGAAATTAATAAATGCAGATTTGCAAAAGACAGAACAAAAGATTAATACATTAAAGTGAAGTATCTAATACGATACCAATTTTCATTCAGCATTTGACTGAAAATACCGGTATCAGAATCCTTTACATTTTTATTTGTTCTGTTACAATTTAGTTCCTACATACGAATTATAAAATGAGTAAGACGTGGCTACATTTTGAGTCCTCATTCTACCACACAGGACAGAAAAATCTGAATGAGTTGAGATTACTTGGATTTTTCTACTTTAGCATTTAAAAAGATTAAGAAGCTACTGTCCTAATACCAAAACAGGCTGTCAGTAACTCAAGAGACTGAGGGAACAAGTATATTATCATCAATTGATGTGCAGAGTTTTCTCCTTCAAAGCAAGCAAAATTCACCTAAAACATTGTTCAGGGAAAAGAAAAATCAGTTCCAGATTTACATAACAATAAATCAGGCTTATCAGATATTGAAAACCTAGCTGCAATTCTCGATTACTCATTAGTAAACATATCAAGGAAAAAATGTAATAAAAAAAGGTAACTTGCGTTGCTATCCTCAGGATCTTCTAAACCGTCAGGCCGACTAAGATTGCGTGAAGGCTGACTACACACTACATCATCTTCTAGCTCCCAGAAGGAAGTTCTAACAGGTGGTCTTTGGATCTCATCAGGATTAAAAGCACCATCTGCTCCATCTGAAGAAAAATTAATTAGAGCATCTTTTGTTCAGTAGAGTTTGTGTTTTGAGATTACAGATGTGCTACCTTACATTTAAAAATCAAGACTCAAACACATTTTCGGTTTAGGCAATATGAAACAATAGAAAATCGCCTTTTTCAAAAGGTGTTTCTTTAAAACTCTGTTTACCGTATTGATTCTCATCAGTAAAATAAAGGCACTTTATTAAATTCTCATCAATCAATAAAGGCTCTGTTCACCAGTATAAAGATTGTCGGTACTTAACCTGCACTAAATGAGCCATTGCTTTTGAAACAGTGAAAGAGAAATTATACTGGGAGGGGTAGGGGGGTGTGTGGAATTTACTTACCTCTTCTTTCCTGAATTGCATATGGGTTTCCATATTGCAATACTGGTAGTCTGCTTGGCACTGCAGGAATTGGTCCATTTTCCTCCGAATATGGGTTGCGAAAATGTAATGTCTGTTGTGAAATCTGTCCTTCCATCATCCTTCCAGCTTGATTTCCTGGTGTCCTCCCAAGTTCCTAAATAATGCGAAATTTAAAATGTAATTAACCTATGCTGTCCTAGCAAAGTTTGAAATTTTTAAGAAATATTTAGATTTTTTTTTTTAAATACATCTGCCACGCCCACTGCATCTCCCACTGTCTTTTCATCTTGTTCTAGTGCCAAATATACCATGCATACCAAAAATAGTCAATGGAGAAAAGAAAATACAAAAAAGATATTGTAAAGAATTTTTTCTCCTGTTTTGTCATCAGTTAATTCAAATTACATAAACAGAACTGCCACATTAACTGCCACATTTTTCAAGAAATATCTGCATCCTTTTTAAAATGAAGAAAAATCAGTTAAATAGGTAAAGAATGGGTGGATTAACAATAAAAACTAGAGATAATGTGCACTGAAAAAAGTTTCTAAAAGTTACAATTAAAAATAAAATAATTCTTTTTTTCATATCATACCATACCATTCAAGAATGCACCATTTTAGTATGTAAAGTACATATATGTACATACTTGACGTAATTCCCTATGAATTCGAGAGTGGGAGATATTTTAAGAACTATTAAGTACATTGTACTGGATCCTTTCTGATATCTAACAGCAGAACATTGACCTATATGAAGTGTAACTTAACATTAACAAAGAAAAATGATAGAACAAGTTTTTGTTCCATGTCCTTCACATGCACACACACACACAGGGAAAGAAACCAGCACGGAGAATTAAGAAGCAGTCTCATGTGTCTTCTACAATGTAACTTCCTTAAAGTTCCCCTTACTTGCATACATAGTCATGCGTGCACGTTAAGCTCTGTAGATTATTTGCAGATGTTTTAGATGTAGCTGTATTTAAAACTGGAAGAGAATTACTTTGTTCAAATGCAGAGATCCTATCAAACATATTCACCTAAAACTAAACCTACAGAAGCAAAGATCCATTACTTTTCCTTGTTCTCAGTTTCTTTAAAAATCAATTTTTAAATATGTGTTGAAATACATTAAACCGGTTAGAACAATTTTGTCCTTGTTTGTGATTCTGCTTGGTGATCGTGTTCCACTTGTAATTATTAGGGATTTTTTTTAGTTGTTACTATTATGTCAGAATACTTCTATTACCACTATACCAAGTATAGCAAAAAACTTCCTTGTCCTAGTCACTGCTAACACAGCTGAAATTTTTGCAGGTTTCTCCTTTTTGTGAACAGAAAGAAAAAGGAACGTTTGGTTTTTTCAATTAATATACAGTATATCTACAATGTTGAGAAGTGGTTTGTGGCTTGCAATGACTGAAGATATGAGAACACTTTCGAGCTGCACTGTAAAGCAGACTTAACAATCCAGTTGGTACCTTTTTGTTCTTACACTCAAAAAAGACAGACCATACTCCTCTATAAAAAAATTACAATCTAAATGTAAATCAAAGGGAGAGGGGGGGAAAAAGAGAACAATAAAGTAATGAGACAGGTCAACATATTAAGCAGTGGTTTCTACATCAATAGCAGGAAGTTGCCAGCTTCTTGGTGGGCACGAGGCAAAGGCTAGTTTGCAGGAGCACCCTGAAGAAAGTATTGTTACTCCGTGGAAATCCCTCTCCAAAACATAACAAAATAGCATGGAAAAAAGCACACAAGTATGCACATTAGAAAATGTAACAGAAAAATGATGAAGCATGGTCTCACAGATCAATTCATTATATTTGAATAGGGAAGGAAAGAAAACAGAGAACGGTAGGTCAGGAAAGATCTGGAAAGGATCGTGAAAGCGTAACAAGTAACTCCTGATAAATGCAGTGGAGGCTGACAGTCAAAACAATGGGCTAGGAAAATGCTGTGTACCCTACAACACCTTCTGAATGAAAACAAGTGAGAAGAGGTTTCTCCCATCAAGGCCAGAATGGGCTACAGCAAGTGTGACAATTCTATTGAAATTCCGGGCAAGATTTTTAACTTGATGGACAGCTGGAGGAGACCACATTACAGATACTTTACATCAACAGGATTTAGGTAAACATTGGGATAACAAAAATTTTAAAATGGGTCAGATTGAAGACAATTTGCTCTATCATTCTGGACTATAACATAGATATGGTGGTCATGCCCCTAGCAATCATGCAAAGGCCCCTGAATATACAGAATTATAGAATCATAGAATAGTTTGGGTTGGAAGGGACTTTTAAAGGTCAACTAGTCCAACTCCCCCTGCCATGGGCACGCACATCTTCAACTAGATAAGGTTGCTCAGAGCTCTGTCCAATCATGTAAACTCAGCGCTAACTACTAGACTGATTGATTAATTCTCCATTTTTGATAACATTCAGATGATTCCAGGAAGGAAAACTATTGCTCAAGGTTGGTATTTCTATTTATATTAACAAATAGAAATTAGTGCTATTTTTCACAAAGGTAATTGAGACTAGGTACTTACTTCAAATAATACTTATACTACAAGCATCATATGGAACAAAACTGTACTACTGTTACAAATGAGTGGATTTTAAATCCATGAGAAATTGTATTTTCATACACAGATTCCAAAGTTATTACACTTCCTGCGAAAAATAATTTGCCCTCCATGAACTTAATGAGCAAGTTCTAATTCATCCTTCTTCCTCCTTCTTTATATCCTCACCTACTTTATATATACATATACTTACAGTTTAGCAAGGGCATGTACGTAGCTTACTTCCAAAATTCAGTGTTTTCATCCAAAATATAAAACTATTGAATTTATTGAGGGGCTTAAATGGCCTGCTTTATTTAATTCTGTTGTTTAAATATTTGTATCAGAAAGGCAATTAGTTCTTTCAGAAAAGCTCAAACAGAACCCTTCAAAAAATTAATATACTTAAAATTCTAGATTCTTACCTATAATCCATAAAGATAGTAATTATTATAAACTACTAAAGGGTTTTTATAACTTATAAACCATTAAAACTCTAAGCCAATATATATGTTGTAAGACAGTAATTAAAGTGACATAAGTGTGGTCAGTACATCAGCTGTAATTCATCCAAAGTCTTTCTCATCCTTCCATTTAATAAAACGGGTTAAAAAAAATGCTGAGAATATACAAAGGAATATGCCACTTACAATTCAGAAGCAAGCAAAAAATTCTGAGATGTAAAAATTAAAAAAATAATTAAAAAATAGAGACTGTTATGACAGATTCGCTTTCCAATCATTTTGTTCTTTCTTGTTAGCAGTTTCTTCTGGATTCTCTGGGTTTAATATTTGCTAATGTAACGTTAACAAAAACCTCAAAGATGGAAGTGTGCATTTTCCCCAAATGACTTTGAATTGAAACTTAAAACCAAGGCTTCAATTAGCAATTTAACTACACAAGAAGTAAAATGTCTCAGTTATTAAAAAGAACAACTCAAGGTATTTTTCCTAAAAACAGGTAAACTTCAGCCGAAACGCTAGAATACAAAAATGCAAAATCAAGTAGCAATAACTAGTCTGAAAACAAAACACCACTCAAATGAAAAAAAGACGGAGCTCATACATTTATTGTTACATATGTACTATCACGTTTCAGACATAAAGGCTTTGGATTCCAACAGCAACATCATAAAGTCATTTTCAAACAGGAAAAAAGTAGTATCTACAAAGAGTAAGGCAGCTTATAGAAAGTCACCTTTTTGGAGCACTGGCCGTAAAAACAGAAATGTTTATTTTCTTTTAGAAAAACCTTCTAATACAGGACAACACAATTTCTGCCTAACAACCTCCAAGTAAAATATCCTCCTGTAGATATGATATAAAACTATGCTAGCGTTACTTTAGATTTATAGATTAAATTGCATATATGATTGAAATGGTTAGGGTTAAATGGTTAGGATTACATCTTAAAGTTTTAGTGAGCGTGTAAAATCTAAATAATTAATCTTTACTCAATACAAAGCAGGAACAATTAATTATCAGTGAAATTAAGATTTTCCTTTATAAAATCAATTTCTTCTGCAATATGGAAGCAGTTTAGAATGAGAGGCAGTGGCATTAATACTTTAATTTTAGCATCACATAAGATTAAAACAGAATGTAGATCAAAGTGACTGTAAAAAGTTACTGTAAAATAGCCTTAGCTAGAAGTTGGACAGCTAGGGTAAAGAATGATTTTAAAAAAAAAAAAAAAAAAATCAAAGGCTATATAAGTATGTAAATAAAATAGAAACCAAGTAATTTTATAGGTTTGAAGAGACAGCAAATGAACATGTTTAGCATGCTATGTTTGATAACATTTATAAACAAACACTGATAATGGAGTATAAATTGAAAAGCTGTTTACTACACTGTGCTTAACCTTTTAAATCATGGTTCCAGTCTAGCAAGGCACTTTGATTCATCTTTGTAATGTAAATATCTATAAACTTGGTAGACAAAGTTCCTTTTACAAGCTCCATACATTATTATTACAGTTGTTCTCTTTCTTATGTGTGGTGTTTAAAATTACTGCCTCCAGCTAAACTAGATTCATCAAAACAACTTTTATTTTGCTTTCTTTTGAATTAGAAAAATATCAGAGAGATCTATTAAAAATTACATCTTTGGTAAAAAAAAAAAAAAAAGATAATTTAAATACCAACTACTTGAGAATCTACAATTTTACAAAACACTTAACTAGTCTTAGTTAATCTGAAATTAGTTTAATTTCAATTTATCAGTATGCAAATTCCTGTTTTTACTAAATATCTGTTCACACTGGATTTTTAAAGTAATTTGAACAATCCTAACTTTTCCACAATATCATGCAATATTATCTGAATGTAATGAAGACATTTTATTATTTCACTTTTCAGTAAGCCCTAGCTTTGATTAATTGTCATATAATACTTCAGAGGTTCTTCCAACATTAGAACATCAGCATTAATATTTCAGAATGTCTGGTTTAACAGTAATGGTAATGAATTTGATTAAACAGTAAACTCTTGAAAGTAGCAGTCCATTTTCTATCATATATTTAAAAATCAGTGTACTGTTTGTGTATCTTTCTTTTCTGATAAAGATATTTTTCCAATGGTAGTTCACCGAAGTCACTATTGTCACATGTCAAGCTGCTCTTATTATTACAAGCAGTCAATAAGAGAACTGCAGATGTCAAAAGGATTTGGTTGTATGCACACATCATGAAAAACTTGGAGATTATACTGTTGAAATGTCTACATCTCTAGTTCTATGACAACACTGAATAAGAGCAAAAATAATCCTAACCAGTGATGGAAAAAATAAACTGTCAAGATAGGTATGTACCATTCATGTCTTATGCCAGGATTCCAAAGGGAATAAGGTTTACTAATTATGCTGCCTGTCAGCCAGTAACTCCTGAAAGTATCAGGGAGAGAGTCCGTCCCAAAGAAATGAAGTTCCTGCAAGTTTTGTTAATTGATGCTCCCTTAGAGGGCAGAAAGGCTGCAGCATGAGCTCAATAATAATCTTTTCTATTTGGACAAGCAGCACATGCACTAAGCTGGTATCAGCCTCTAGACACAACGGGGCTGAACCTCTTTCACTAAGAGATACAGAGGAGTAAAGCAGGAAGGAGGCTGGAAGTCCACTGAAAACTTGTAGAAAAACAGTGATGCTGCTGAGATGAGAAAGGAATATAGGATACAAACTGGTAGGAATACCTGTGTTCTGTGAACTGTATAGCTAGCTGCAATTTCAGATTATTAATTTACACAAAGTAATCCCTATCTGCAAACAGAAATAATTATTTTAGATCCTGGATGGAGTATCATTCCAGACAGGAACAAATAAATAATTTTTGACACCGTAATGTTTTTGTTAGATTATATGTAGGAAATATTCTAGAACACTACTACAGAACAATAAACGACAATATTTTCAAAGGCCAAGTCAGTTTTGGCAAGTTGGTATACTATGGTGTACATTTTTTTAAAAATACATTAGTATTACTAACAGAATTTGTAGTTTAAAATGCTAATTCATTTTGGCAAAACATCCAAATATGGAAAAGTATGTTTAAAGAGTAAACATTCTCACTTAAAAATAAATTCCAATTCCTCAAACCAAAGAACATCACAAGCGTTAATTTACAAAATTTAACAGGAATCCTGACAATACCTTCTCACTGGTAAAGAGTTCCAACTGTGATGCCAGTTCCTTTATTCGTCTCTCTTTTTCCGCCAGCTGAACCTATATGAAAAGAAATTCAAGGTTCCTATTATTAGTGAATAGAAACTACTTCCCTGCATGTTACATTGTGAAAACATAAAGTTTAGTGATTAAGTTCATCTTTCAGATGGAAATTATTTTGTCTACTATAGCTACATGCAACAACTAGTGCTACTACAAATCAAAACCAACAATTCTCCCTAAATTTGTCTACTGGATAACAGGAGTACATTAGGAGCCTTTTCTTGCCAGCTTTCAGAGAACAGTTGCAGAATGATAAAATCCTAGGTTAAAAACCAGGAATAGCATCAGCAATACTAACGGCAGGAGGGACACCACTGCCCAGAAACAGTTGCAGGTTTGCAAGCCTCATCTCATTATTTCTAAAGGAATCTGTTGGCAAGGATTTTAGTTATTTATTTCCATTCACTTCTCTCCAGGCTCTTAAGTCCCACCACAGAACTGAGAGAACCAAAACCTCCTCTTACTTCAAAGACACTAAAATTGTTTCATGAACATCTACCTTGTGTCTCTGTTGGGTGCTCTGGGAGATGCAACCGACACATTATACAATTCTTCCAGGCTTCCATCTTGCTTCAAAATGATTATTTAAATAATCTTTCTCTACAAAAGGCTATTTTATTTGGATTCTGGTTACTTTGGAGACTGTCTCTCCACTTGTTTTTCTAGCACATAAGCTCAATGCTCTGCACAGTTATGTATCCATTTTTTTTAAACATTCTGAAATTCCCTCTCTTAGTTCAGGTCAACAGAAAGAAATCTACCGACTGGGAAGAAAAGCTCACTTTTTCTCCCCCACCTGCACTCTCCTGAATGATAACAAGTTTTGAATTGCAGTCAAAATGCTTTTGGAACCAATTATTTATTACTCCTGCTGTTGAGAAGTTAAAAACAAACTTATTTTACATTAAATTATGCATGGCAACTGATCACTGCTAATTAATAAAATTAAATAAATTGGAAAGAGTCATGCATTTTATAAAATTGAAATCAGAGCTTTGAAAAGTGTCGAAAAAGGACAGCACAGCCTACAGAGTGCTGAAATGAGCTGTAGAGTAATTCAGTATTTCATAAAGAAAAAGTCCTGCAAATTCTAATGGGAGGGGGTTCCTACTAGAACTGATACAGTCACAGTTCAATTTAATCCCTAGTCATCACAATGGGCAAAAATGGGCAACAGAGAGTAATCCATCCTGTCAACTACACTATTACCATTAGACTGAAAACAAGCATAAAAGCTGGTCTTACAGAAAGTTGTTGCTCTGATCTTGTCCTTGTTGACCTAGAAAGCCACTTCAACATATGTATTGCTATTACATAACCTCAAAGATTAAAACCCCGTGTAAGCTAAAGCTGCCCATTATGCTTGACTTTCTGGTGCATGTGTAAGACTATAGTTGAGATACTCCAAATTAAAGTAATTCTTTCACGATGATTTTAAAATCAATGTATCACTCATCTTCTATCTCTCTAGTCAATTCAGATAAAACGCATTAGACGTTACTACACTGGTAATGCAGCAAGCAATATGAAGATTTTCGACAAATACGCCAATCAATATTCCTGCTAGTACTATAGTAAGCAACAGGAAATTAGAACTCTCTACTCTTTTTTTTCCTGTAATACAAGATCAACGTCATTTAGAGGTTTGTCTAAATCCATAACATTAAAAGACTGATAACCATTTGGTAGTATACTTAGAAGGTCTGTCTTACTTTAAAAGAAGCATTACAAGACTGTGTTGTTTCTACAAGTGCAAAACAGATTTTCTATTTACAGCAAAAACACACTTAGTGTTTTTCCCCCATTAAAACTGTTCATTATTTGAACTATTAGAAATGAGCAACTATGTTACGAACAGGATACCATTCATTGCCATAAACAAAATCTGTAACTTACTTTATACTGATCCTCCATTGCTGCTAGCTGTAATTTTACACCCTCATTGATTTTCACTTGTTCTTTCCACTTCAGCTCCAGTTTAGCTAGTTCATCAGCATAAACACTGCATTTCATCTTCTCATCCTAAAGTAGTTTATACCATGGCATGAAATATTTACAATTTTAAGAGGTTTCCCCTCCCGCTCCCAACCATGACACTGTGTAACTCCATGCTTTTAGAACGAGACCATTTACAAATGGCTTCCCTAAGAAATCAAGCCTGACTCAAGACTTTGAAGAGGACAGGACCATTGAACACTGCATAAATGATGTTCAATACATATTTTTTTCTTGCCTGAGTTTTCAACAAGCTGATATTCCTCTTTAGCTTCACAGTTTTCAAGCTTCTTTGTATCCTAATACTACACTGTAATCATGATTATCCTTTCAAGTGTCTCACTTCAATACAAAACCTTTCCCCATGCAACTTTTACAACCTAAGTATCTTTCATCCAGAAGGTCAAAGGCAAAGCTTTCCTCAAGCATCATTATAGAAGAAATAGCCAGCAGAAGCTAATGCAGGCTCTCCATAGACAGGGTAATGAGCAGAATTACATATGACAGTTGTTACATCCTGGAGAGCACATTAAAATAGAATAATCTCCTTGTGACAGATAAGAGAAACAAGATGATTAGCTGAGTTCATGGCAGTTTTGTGAATGTATTATTATGACTATTTGAGAACAAAACATTCAAGTACGGAAAAATTCCAAGTTTTTAATTCTAATCTTAATTCTAACTGTTCTGACTACATAAAATTGATTGTTATTTTTTTAATCCCCAAACAACAAACAAACGAGCAGAGACAAGACAACACCCAGAAAGCATTTTTTAAACAATTCTACAACAGTCAACTTTTCACCAGCATCACTGATGCAATACTCCTTTGTCATACATACATCCAAACTGATTAAATGAAAATCAAGTTAGGACTGACAGGTATTAATATTTGAAGGGCATTACTATTGTGGCTACAGCACTACTGGTGCCAGCTTTGGTCCAGAGAACCATATAAATGCCTTTATGTATGACTGAGCCCAAGCTAGCAGGCAGTACCCACTCGGACATCAAAACACTGTAAAAGCCCAGGACAGTCAGGTTTGGAGGGAGTTCTTACACTTGACCAGCATATCAGATAAACACTGCTATACTTGTTCCAGACATCAGCTGGCTTATAGCAACATGCTGTATTTGATTTATAAAAGCAATTATACTTAAAATACAATGCAAAAAAAAAAAAGTATTCAAAACTTTAAGCACAGAAGTAGTAGTAGTTTTGTTCTTTTGTTTTACTGCATCTGGGTTATCCTGAGGGGTCTTTGTCTGGGCTCTCTAACACCACAGCTAATCGAGAGCTGCCTTAATAAAAATGTGTTTTCTAATGTTAATATTTCTACCGTAATTGCGGTGTATCACACAAACAAGCAAGGCACTCAGCTGGGCAGGCTTTGTAATTTTAAGACTTAGCACCTATAGCTACTTTCTCTTCAGCTTTCCAAAGCAGCCATTTACTTACTGCCAACATTTGCTTGCATTTCTTATACTTCTCTGTTTTCTCAGCAATTTCTTTATTCATTTCGCGTACTTGCTCCTTTACCATGAATTCCGAAACTATATCAGATGAAATGGGGCTAACTGTGAACATTGAAGAAAAAACAAGAATATTGATCTTTTTGTTCCACAAATAAAGTTTGTATAAGAGAGATGACAGGCCAAATTTGACAGTGCATCAAGAACAGAGTGTTCCATGTTATCCAAGCAAATAGTTAAATCAAAGACAATCAATATCATGTGGCTAGTGATACATAAGATCAGCAGCCGTACTAGCATGTCTGCGTTCAGTTCTCTCACATACTGAAGATGAAAATAAATATACACATACATACATACTACAAAGGTCAATGTAAAAAAAAAAAAACACAAACCACAAAACACACAAAAGACATCTCTCCCCTTCATTCCCAAGAAAGTAAACACCAGAATATATACATTATGATATCATGCTAGATATTTTATTCTTCCATAAAAACATGAAGTGCCTCAGCAATCTACTTCATCCCATCACATACTATAACTGAGCTTGCTGGGACTTTATTTGTTTTAGGAAACACTTGTATTTACTTAAGACAGGAGGAAACAGACATAAATTACAACCTATAGTCTCTATAGACAGAAAGAATGTGTTAATTATAATGTAACACAAAAAAAATTAGTCAGCATTTACTGGCATTTATCAATTTAAATTGAATAATAAACCAGGCTTAGTTCTAACCTATTATATGTTTATGTTTTAGAGGACTAGTTTTGTAAGAACTTAATAGTTCATAAAAATTATAACCTAGTTAAACATTTTCTAATAAACCACTACTGACTATAAATTATGAGAATAGTCTATAGACTTGACCTTGTCGTCACATAACCAGAACTTTTCAGTGGATTTGATTTTACAGTAGAATCCTACAGTGGATAGTCATTGTAACAGGACTGCAAAATTACCATGCTATTGTACACAATTTGCAAATTTGGAAAGGATTTTTTTTTTTAAGTAAATTTTTTATTAGCTTGGAAAAACCCGCTCTGTGTTAACCATCAAGCAGAAATTCAAGAGTTCAGTCCTACTGACATTAAAAAAATATCAACTGAACTGTTTTGAAAAGATAATTGAAGTTATTTATGAATGTTACCACTTGAAAAGATTTTTAGATGAATTTTCACATTTCTAATAATTGCTTTAACTAAAACATAACTAGTCCACTTACTTTATACTATACATATATTAGGGACTACTTCACATAGACAACACTTTCAGGCTGATACAAATAGACAAAATTTAAGTTGTTGATACCTGGAGATGCAGACAACTTTTTGTCTGTAACGATGGCAGTAGCTGTCTCAATGTTAGATGTATCTGTCAGTTTCTGTTGATGCCCTGCAATTTTCTTTGTGAAAAGAAACTTTGTTTTGGTATTTAATTAAATGAAAGCCAAAGCACAAAGTAACATGTATCTTGCACTATCATCTCCTCCAAAATTGGACTAGATGGAATTGCTCATTAAAACAGGAGGTAATAATGAATATGCAAACACATTTAATTCTACTAACACTGAAAGTGCCTCAGACTATGATTTTTATAATCTTACATTATAAAGTTCTTTTCCCTAGAAACAGTAATTTCTATGCAAATTACTACTAGAGAATCAATTACACTTAAATCCATCAACTTAAATCTAATATTCCATTAGAAAATAAAGTCTATATTACTAATAAGCGTCAAAGTAGTGAAATTTGGTGTTTGTTATCAGATGTACAACATAGCCAAAGATGTGGAAGATTTTTAAGGAAAAGCCACAGGCGTTCTGATATGACACCTCATTCACCACTGACCTTCTGGATGAGAAGACAACCTTTTAAAGTAATCTGTGCATCAAAGCTGGGTAACTACCCCTTTGTTCTGTAGATAGCAGAAATCCTTAAGTCTGTTTTTCTTAAGAATTCACATTTGTACATCTTGCCATTGCTCATATGCCTTTTCCCCGTTTGAGCTCCTCTCCGACTCAGTCACTAATTTTCACAAAATTCTGAAGAACTCTGCTCTGAAATCTGTTTGAAATTCACTAACAGGTTCAGTTACTAGGCAGCATAAAACTCACATCATCATTGCAAAAACCTCATTTATTTATGGAACAAAGCTTAGAAGAGTGGTAAGAATACAAAATACATATGGAATACAACTATATACTGTGCCGTGGAAACCTCCTCCCCATTTCACTCTTCCTCCAAGTTCTCCATTTCCGTCATTTTGGGGTTGGGGGGGGGGGCGGGGGCCTGTGGTTGTGGTGGTACTGAATAGAGGTCGTAATTATGGATTTTTCCCTGCTTCAGTTTCAAAATTCTTCCTTGAACAATGTTATGCTTACAGGTTCATCCAAACTCTGTTATCTTTCTACATACACCTACTCTTGATTTCGACAACTATCTAAAAAGAATCATAGAAGTAATTTAGCTTTAGGGAAGAAAGTGGCAAATTAAAGAGCCATTGCTTACTGTATGTTTTAATCCTTTTTAAAAGCACTGGGTTTTGCAGAAGGAAATTAAATAGTTGCTGAAAAGTTACAAAAAGCAAGTGCAATTTCTCCCACTCTACTTACTGTCTGTTCTGTAAACTTGTTTACTTGTTTTTGAAGTTTTTGACATTCTTTGAATTTTTCCTTGTAATGGTCAGCAGCCATTTGCAGACGAAGCTTCAGATCTTCAACTTCTCTGCGCAGTTCCTGCTCTACTGTGTTTGAAGTTTCCTTAAAAAAAAATTAGAAACTGCTCTCCCTTTTGTTCAAATACCACTATTTCCCAAAAATCCTTTTTTCAATTAAAGAAAGCATAATGCTCTAAAAAGTGTAGTAGAGCACAGATAGAGGCAGCATCTGTGCTGAACTTCATTCCAAGCACTGAGGGAGTAAATAGGCACTGGTATAATACCAGAGGCAGGTAAAGAGGATTCTTATTCTATGGGCTGATTAGCGTATACTGAAAGTCTGAACATATACCAAAAGTCTGAACGCCTTCAGAAGGTGTTCTAGCTATCTTATAGACAAGTATAGCCACGTGGCAAAAATGGACAGACCACAACTGTATTCCATCACACTCACTATGGTTCTACTGGAAGTGCTTCAGCTGAGCTGTAACATTGATACACGAGCTAAGCAAACTACACTTACCAACTGGATATACGCCGTATTCGGATACTTTCTGATAATTTGAATCATTCAGATGATCTGCTCCTTCTTTCAGGATGCATTTCAAAGACATTGTATATAATTGAAATTCTTATAAAAAATATGTAATTCTTGGATATATTAAATATAATAGTTCTTTTGAGGGTTGTACTATTCACTTTGTATTTATTCACTTCGTGCACTATTTTATTTACTGTTCAGCTCAACGTATTTTTTCAAACTGCTACATCATTACAGTAATCCTAGCAGCGAATTAATCCAATACAGTTGCAGTCACAGAAAATCCAGTACAAAGCTCACTTAAGACAGAATGATGAAACTTATATTAGCTCACTAGATTTTTATCCAAGATAAAGAAAGTCAAGACAGTTTCCATTATGTTAGTATTTTTATACTTATAAATGCTAAAGCAAATTAACTTTGACCACAAATATTGGAAGGACTCATAAGAATCAAGAGAGAATCCATCAATGAGGAAAGAACATTATAAAAAAAATTTCTATCAATTTTCTTATCTGAATGAATTTTTAATGCTACTGTGGCTTACATAAAAGAATTAAGAAAGGGAAAGGATTCAAAATAATATCAATAAATACTGTATTATTCTGTGAAAATAATCTGGGGGTGGAGGGGAGTTGCTGTAAGTACTAGCAGAAACCTTATTTCTTACCAACCTTCCAAATCAGCTAACGTGCACTTGACTTAAGGTAGTATCTTGAATGCCAAAAGAGAATTTGATGATAATTTGCACTAATCATCCAGAAACTTTTATTTTATGCCCCAACTTTAGCAAAACTAGCTCTTGACAGATTTTATAAATACAGATAAACTTCAGTACTAAATACTGACAATTTACCTGTTCATTTTTCAAAGCCGTGATTTTTTTAAGTTCAGCTAAAGCATCAGCAAGCTGCTTTTTCAATTTATCATTTTCCAGACGCGCACTGTGAAGATCTGCCATTGTCTTATCTCGCACATTTACTGCATCGCTCAGCTCTTTTGACATTAGGACAGCTTCTTGTTTGCTAGCCTGAATCTGATCTTCAGCTTTCCGAAGCTGTTCTTTTAAAATACTTGCATCCTCCTGGGAAAGAGAAGAGAGGGAAGAGAATCCATCATTTTTTAATTCAAAGCTTAAATAAAGGTTGGTATAGGGATTAGAAACATTTGAAAGAAAAATCAAGTTTTCCTGGTGGCTTTAGCAAAATCACTAAATCAAGGAGTTAGTATACAAGTACCATTTTCCCCATTTGCCTTATTTGCTAACAATGGTGTGCAAACTTATTTCACTATGACATAAAGGCAAATTTAAGCATTATTATTTTATCTATAATGGATTTTTGTCATATTTTCAGCTTTAGTTTTAAACATACACCAAAAAATGTCTTTCTGTTTTCCAGAACATGTTTGTTCTTACCACCATAGAACTCTTAACAGGCACAAATGGCCATCCAGCTTCAAAACCAAAGTTCATCCCACAGTAAGACACTGCAGGTAACGACAGAGTAAGAGGTCTTACAATGCCTACAACTGGTTGACGTAAGACACTGTAAAGCAGTTTTGGGATGTTTTTCTCACAGCTCCATTTCCCAAGATGTTGCACAACAAGTTTTTCAGAAGGAACTGAGAACAAAAAGTAACGATGAGCAAGCTGCAGCATGCAGCACTAAGACTCTCAGCACTGCTGCAGCTCCATAGGGCAGCCCAAGGGCCAACCGACCAAGCTGCACTACTCTCATTCCTCAGAGAAGCCCAGGATCACACACCCAAAAAAAAAAAAAAAACCCCAAACAAAAACAAAAAAACAACAAACCACAACAACAACACAAAAAACCCACACACATATATGTATGTGTGTGTGTGTATATATATATGAGTATATATGAATATATATATATGAATGTACATACATATATATTCAGAGCTACTATAAGCTATTCGCAGCCTCTGGGCTTCCTGAAGGCCTAATTATCTCATATTCTTGAGTCTAGACATAAATTCAGGTATCTCTAGTCCATTATTTTTTAATTTTTGAATAATCACTTAGCATAGCAAGTCCAGAGGAACACTAATATTCTGTAAACGTTTATGAAGATGGACCAGGAAATGCCCTAAAGTCCTGACCCTTAGGTATTTTTACAGCACGTGATGCATCAGTTGCCTATTTCAGTAAATATCTGCAGTTTCACAGTATAAGACAAAAATGTTAATGATCCCACCAGAAACATCACAAGCACTTCAGGATTAATAAATGATATAAATGTCTGGCTGCTCAGTACTGGCACACACAAACCCCCTACATGCTTTTACTTCAAAGTAAAATACAGTAGTAGTTTAACACATTCAGAAACAAAACTGCGGAGCAGTCAAAAGACTGTAGCTTAAAGCAAGATAGCATGTTCTTTTTGTCCTCTTGCTATTTCCATTCTCAACAGCACTACTCTTCTGCTTAAATTTTACATTCATAACTCACATTACTTTAACGCCATTTCTATTCTTTCGAGATCTAGATTGCTTTTTCCATTATAAGACTGGCAAGATACACAAGATGAAGTCACCTGCATACCCTGACTTTTCCATGCTGGCCTCAAAGGCTGTGTCTAAATTAACTCCCTAGTTTGGACCAAGAGCACATTTGTGAAGCAAAACTCCCGGTCAATTCCACTATTACCTATCACACTGTAGATCACAGGACAGAACAGTCTCAGGGCACAGAAACTGCCTGGCTTTTGGATGAAACGAAACAGGAAGATGTACTTCAAAAACAAACACCTAATGGGTATTCTATCCACAGCACCACACTAAAACTAGTCTGAAGTAACCCCACCTGGACCATGGACAGCATAGGTATCAGTTCTTCAGCAATTTCACTCTCCTACTGTATCACACTGCTTGCTAACCACAATGCTACCACACTGCGTAGCAAAAATCACCTCTTCCTTAGAAGTCCTACTGGCACTCTTATTGCTGAGTTCTCAGTCAATTTAGTCCATTTATAGGGTATCTTATCCTTTCTCAGGTTTTACATCATTGTACCTTGACAATACATTCACCTAACAAGTCCTTCAGCACATCTTTCGAAGTCTCCTCTTTTCGCCTCCATCACCCTCTAGAGTCTCAACATACCTACATTCTTAACTTTTTTCTTTTCCTCAATCTCCTTCCTTTTTCATGAAGTTAAAAGCAACTCAGAGGAGTACACCACTTTTACTGGTGGGCTTTTACTGAACTCACAAACTACTTTTTCACACATAGTTCATCTCACAGTTCATCATGTGAGACACCTCAACAAGCTCAGAATGTGCAAAACTAAAACAGAATTCACTCTTTTGCTCATTCTCTGCATCTACTGAGAACACCATAATCCTCTTGCCTCTCAGCCTATATCCTGGTGATATCTTCAACTTCTTCCTTTCTCTTGTCAAACATACCTTAGATATGTTTATTTTAAACCAGGCCAATTATATTAATAATGCTTACCTTGTTTGATGAGGAGAGCAAAAAAGCTTTCTTCATATTTTCTTTTTCAGCTATAAATAGCTGTAATCTGCCAATCTCCTCTTTATAATACGATATCATGTTTTCTTTGTTTGCATCCAAATTCTTAAACGTCTGGATTTCTTTTACTAGTTTGGTGTTTTCTATTTCTGTATTCTTCAAGTGTATCTGTAATGATGCTAAAAAATGTCAAACTCTTCTTCCACGTTATGAAAACTACTGTTCACCTGTCCATTTAAGTGTTCACTAAATTCTAACTCATCTCTAAGACACATTGGAACAGGTAAAGAGAAAAATTAAATATTTGATAATATTACTGCCCTCCAGCACAAATTTTCTGGCTGGAATTTTTTCAGCTTTATCATTTAACAACAGCTCCACTCTACAGCTAGAAATTAAGGCCCTGATTTCTGTCCGCATCAAATTAAGCTATTCAGAATTCACTCCTCTCTTCACAAATGCTGGACAACTAAGGACAAGCAAAAAAGAAATGACTTGGAAGAAAACTAAAAAGAAATTAAACTTCTAGTAGTGTCTACTTGCAATCATCTAAGCAAATGATGACTACATCAGCAATATTAATTTCCAAAGACAGCAAACTACTTTAACAACTCCAGAGCTGTTTTTAAGTCTATCATATTATGCCTAATAAAGGATAACTGTTGCACTCAGGTGTGGTCTACTGAAAGACTAGAAGATTTGTGTTGCTTATTTACAAAGGGATTCCATGCTTGTGAAAGATGTTTTGAGATTTTACGACTTCTGGTGCATATTCTAATACTGTCTGCCACATAAAGATATTTTCCTATGAACACAAATAATCTTTTAAATACACTTGACTGTCTTCACACAACCTAAGAATTTCATTATTTTAGCATGTAAGACTTTTTTTGCCCCTTGGGGGGGGGGGGCACTATATTTTATTTTAAATATGGGTGTCTCTCAATACTAGCATAAGAAATCAGCTATGCTAGTAAAAATCAATGCAATATAGATCCTACTAAAGCTTCTCAGAGTTATGCACAGGACTCAAGAATAGGGATCTAGAAAACACAGTCTGGAAGAGAACTTAGAAGAGTAAGAAGTAATGTGCAAGGAATAAAGTTACCTTATAAAGCTCTTTTTCATCCTTTTCTGTCTTTAACACACATTCAAGTTGCTCCTTCTCAAGTGTCACTTTCTTCAGTTTGTCCTTCAGACTAAGACATTGATAAATTAATAGTACAGAACTATTAATAAAGAAAATTGATGCACACATTAAAAATTGTTATTTAAAAAAAAACACCTATGGAAAGAAACAGTAAAATAAGGAAGGTAAGGAACAAAATTACTAAATACCTGTCTAACTCCGTTTCTTTTGCAATGGCTTTTTGAGTAACAGTCATGATATCTTCCTCAAGCTGGAGAACTTTTGAAGCAGCCTCATCATGCTTCTTCTTCAAATCATCAATTTCAGTTTTAAGAGCTTCTGACGCTTGAATATTATTCTTTAAAAAAATTGCAAATAGATGTCATTTAAGAATGTATATCTTCAGAACTATAACATGCTATCTGAATTAATGCTAAAATAGTGTCATTAGATTTCTTCTCTTTCTTAAAATGACAAGTCCATTTCAAGTATATATAAATATATATATTGAATATATATATTGAATATATAAAAATATAATAAACTTGCCACAGGTAGTTAATATATTAATAAGGAGTCAATAAGGAGTTTGTTTTGGTGCAAGCATTTCGTTACACAGACACTACCGAAGACTTCAGAGTATCAGACAAACAAAGCTGTATTTCGTATCTTTTGCCCATCTCCTTTCTGCAAACTAACCATCAACTACCTAGCTTAGAAAACATAAAGAACTACTATTTTTCTTTGTACTTTCTTTTACTTGAAAAGAAGGAAAGCTTGCATTTGACCAGACAGTTACACCACTCAAGCAAGCCACAGTAAAGACAACTGCAGGCAAAAGGAGAAAAAAAAAAAAAAAAGGAAGAACTCATGCAGAGCTAGTTACTACATTACATGTTCCTAGCTAAGATCACAGAATTATAGAACCATTAAGGTTGGAAAAGACCTCTAAAATCATCGAGTCCAACCATCAACTCAACACCACCATGCCCACTAAACCATGTCCCTAAGTGCCACGTCTACACGTCTTCTAAATACTTCCAGGGTTGGTGACTCAACCACTTCCCTGGGCAGCCTGTTCCAAGGCCTGACCACTCTTTCAGTAAAGAAATTTTTCCTAACGTCCAGTCTAAACCTCCCTTGGCGGAACTTGAGGCCATTTCCTCTCGTCCTATCGCTTATTACTTGGGAGAAGAGACTGACACCCACCTCACTACAACCTCTTTTCAGGTAGTTGTAGAGCGCGATAATGTTTCCCCTCAGTCTCCTCTTCTCAGACTAAAGAGTCCCATGTGGAAGGTCTCACAAAGCTCATGGAAGCTCATGAAACAATTGCAGGATTTATGTCTTGGATATTGGAAGCTGAGACAGAGGGTGATGACAACACCCAAAACAGATTCCTTTGTCAGAAAACTGACAGATCCAAGATGGGAAGCCACTTTTAAGTACTGCACTCGTTATCTAATTACAGTAATGTCCATACTGTTCTAAGGCATTGGACAGCTAAACATCATCTCCACCACAGCAAAATGGCCGTTTAAAGTCAGGTCATCTTAAATAACCCAGAAAAACATTATTTTCAATATAATACTATTTTCTTGAGAAAAGAAATTAATAACACTAAAGTAGAACACACATACCGATATAATATGCTACTATTTCTGATACCAAAATTCAATAAACCTCAGCTTAGTATCAACCATGACAGTGCTATGAATCAAAGTGTAAACAAGGTCAAGACAGACTGACCAACATGCCTGACTACAGCATGACTTACGGTGTTTGTGCAGATACTAAGGTACAAGTTGTCTTTCTGCTCTACATTTGGAAGATTAAAGCAGTAGTTCATCTATTCATTTTTAAACAAAGCTCAATGCCCTGAAACAACAAGACTGTACTGTTACATCAAGAGAAACACATCAGCCAGAGTTTACGGAGAACCCCTATTGGCCAGATTCCAACCTAACTAACAATGTTTTAAGTACAATAAAATATAATGAGGACTGCTTTTACTCATTAATTGTCAAAATACACTGTTCGCAAGTGTAATTAAGCCCTGCTTTTACAAGCAACTAAACAGAAGTTTGGGCATTATGATTTTTTTTTGGGG